GCTAAAAACGAGAATAAATATGAACACGCACGAAAACGAATACGAGCACGAATTCAAATGCGAACACGTCTACGAAGGCAAACACAAAAAGGAGGGCTGTCATTACAATTACAATTACCATCGCTCTTTGTATTACCAATACCATTGAAATAACCATGTCATTATCATCACATTGCCATTAGCATTATCATTAGGATTACTATTTATTACCATTATTATTATCTTTACCATTACCAATATCATTACCATTGTCATTACCATTACCAATACTATTTCCAGCACCATTACCATTATCATTACCCAATACCATAACAGCTACCTTCACCAATAGCATTGCCATTACCACCATTATCTTTATTTTTACATTTATCTTTACCTTTAACACTTCCATGACAAAAAATACACAACAATTATGATTTATTTTCTAAAAAAAATTTAAACAAAACAAAACCGATTATTTTCTGAACAATAAATAAATGTAAGAAATATTTATTAACTTCGTCCCGCCCAAAATAAATTTTTTTCATTGAAACATTTTGGTCCAAGCTTTGCACCAACAATTGACAGACATCGATATATATGCTAATATTATAGTTTTGTGGTCGAATGGCATACTTCCAAGGCAGTCTTAAATAACCCAACGAAAGTGTAAAGTCCGCAAAAAAGTTCCCCCAATTATCTGGCGTTTCACATCGCGGTTAATCGTGCAGCGAAATAAATTTGAAGAAGTTTTTCCCGGTTCGATGGTGAATCTGTTCTTGAAACTGTATAGTATAGCTCATGGCAATTCCAAAATGACTGACTATCGTTGTTCCACAGAAATTCAATAGACGAAATATCTTAAATGCCTCATCAAGGAGCGTAATAGTTCTGGTGATTGATTTAACGAAGGTCATTTTAGGTTGACTCCTGGAAAACTCAATCCTGGTGTTTCCGAATGAAGCTTTAAGGCAGAGTAATATTGGTAAATCATATCCACTGGGCCAGTCGGAAAACACGAAATCGAATCATGCTTACAATTTTTAGTAATAACTCGACTCCAGGTCCACCTGGCGGGTAAAATTGTGAACTGAAACTATCCAGAGACCCCCTCAAATACACACGACGCCCCATTTTCAAATAGTTCCACTTCTCTCCATGAGAATGCTCGTGCTTTCATATATATTTTTTAGCCTGTAACCATCCTTGGAAATTCTGACAGAGTACTTAACATAACAATTTATTTCCTCGTTTACATTTTACTAATTTTTATATCTTTCCAGCAAACAAATTGTTTTGAAGGTTTTGAATCCATGAATTGAAGGATTCAATGTTCGTGAAAACACCTGGGTTACCTTTATCGCCACAACCATTACCCCAGGAAGCCAAACCAATCAACTTATTTCCAGATACCAAAGGACTTCCAGGCAGTGCACCACAAGCAGCGTCCTTTGCCAGACCGCACAACATTGAATCGAACACCTCACCCACCTTGTACTTATATTTGCCGGAAACACAATCCTTAGCACTAATAATAGTTTCATCTACATCAACCACAGTATTATTTGCATCCCAGCCGGTGAGCACGGCACTGGTACCGGTTGGGCGTGGTTGGCTAGCTAACGTCAAGTAATTAGCCTCGACGGATTCTGTCAGCCTAAGAACGGCTATATCATTCTCCCATGTGTTATAGCCGAAGCGAGCACTGAAGGTATAATCCGAAACTTTTAAGAATTTAGCGCCATTACGTACACCCACAGCAAATTTCCAACCATTGTGGAGAGCAAAACACGAGCCAGCGGTAACCGCGATATTCTTTTTAATTAAAGCACCTGCGCAAACGGGTACGCCATTTTCATCGTGAAATGAGATAAGGTATGAGCGGTCGCTAATGTTGGCAGGTGCACCACCTTCAATGCCTGCTGCAGCACTGGCAGCTGTAACTGTTGTCAACAGCAGTAGGCCATAAACTAACTGATTGGCCATTTCGAGAGTAGAATAAAATCGACGTTTGAAACCTTATGTCTGATAACTTCAACTATGCGCTGCACAGATTATCGCATTCTTATATGCCGTTACTTACTAGATAATATACCTAATAGTAATAATAATAAATATTTTATAATAAAATCTAAGTGCTTACACTTTTAGTAAGTGTTTGGCCGAGCTTCTCCTCCAATTTGTGGTGTGCGGCTTGATGTTGTTACACAAATGGAGGGGCCCACAGTTTTCGTCGCCTACGAACGGCAAATGGATATTATGAGATGCTTTTTCAAGTCAGAAATCCACTCGTAGGTTTGCCATTACTTGCCGAGGAACAACCGCTTTTAGTAAAACCTCTTTCTAATTTAGATGTTGGCCCGATCGGGGCTCGAGCCCAGGTCCTACGGGGTTGTAGTACGCATGCTTAACCACTCAGCCACGGCGCCCGAGAGATACTATAGCTAGTTTCAACTAATTAAAACCAAGCAATTGAACACTTGAGAAAACAATTACTTATATTATACTTATTCAGGCCTCTGCGACGCCGTCTGCGCAGCACCTTCGTTGTAGCGTCGCACAGTGGGACGTCCCCATATAAGCTGCGGCAAAAAGCAGAAAGCGTACAAGAAATTTGCTGAAATTTCGTATATGCGCTATTCGGATTTAGGAATTAGAAAATGTGGAAAATGGTAAAACTCAATGCGCTACCACGCCCACAGCTCTTGTGGGCGGAGATGGTAAATGTTATCCGATTTTGATGAAATTCAGAGTATATGCTGGTTTTAACGAGAAAAGCATAAATCTGAAAGAACGTCAAAATCGGTTTACATTATGGTCCAGTAGTTCTAGAAAAAGAGGAGCAAAAAAAATCTTTTTTGATG